GGAGAGTGTGCAGGAGGCAGCCAGTCAATGATTCTGTCTCATCATTGATGTTTCTCCCTCTCTCTCACCTATCCCTTCCTCTCTAAAATCAATAAAAATATATTTTAAAATAAAGATATTTTCAAATCCTCCTAGAAGTTTTAAGACTCTACTTTTTACATTTAAGATGAGTTATCTCTGGAGTTTATTTTTGTGTTGAGTGTAAAGTAATGATCAAGTTTAATTTTTTTCCAAAATATTTTCATACCAATTAATAAAAAGACTGCATCCTACAGCTCTACAAATATGTCTGTGTTTTCATAAAAGTGTCCATTACCATATGTTTCTATTGCCAGACTTTTCATTTTGTTCCACTAATCTACTTCTCCATCCTTGTGCTGATACCATACAATTTTCACTACTGTGCCTTCATAATAGATATCGGGTACAGTAATTTTCCAGCTTTATTTTCCTTCTTTAAGATTGCCACTTCATATTTTTGTATAAATTTTTAAAGTAACATCATTTTCCACAAATTATTCAGGTGCCATGTTCACTTTGAATTACATTGAGCATATAGATCAATTTTGAAAGAATTGGCATTCATACAGCGTTGACTCTAAAACCCATGAGTAAATCCATTTATTTAAATCTTTTTAAAAAAATTAACATATTGCCGCTTATTATGTGTACATATTACACATTTTTTCTTGGATTTATTTCTGGGTATTTAGTGATTTTAGATGGCTTTGTGTATGATTATCTTACTTAAATTTCACTTTCTACTATACTGGTATATAGAAATACAGTTGATTTTTGTATCTAGAAATCTTGCTAAATTTTTTAAAATTCTAATAGTTTCTCTGAATATTATATGTGTGTTTTTTCTCTTTTGTGCTAAGAATCTCCAATACATGTAGAGTAGGAGTGATGATAAGCATCCTTGTTTCTTTTTCAATCTCAAAAAAAAAGCTTCATCTATAAATTTTTAATAATATTTTAAAATACATTTTTATTAATTTTAGAGAGAGGAAGGGAGAGGGATAGATATATAGAAACATCGATGAGAGAAATATCAATCGACTGCCTTCTGCATGCCCCCTCCTGGAGATCAAGCCTGCACCCCAGGCATGTTCCCTGTCTGAGAATAGAACTGTGACCTCTGGGTTCATGGGCCAATGCTCAAC